CAGTTCTTTTGTTTGTTTCCTGTACTTTTATAATGTCTGTTATTGGTAAGAAAACTGAGCTGTTTTCGGTGTTTAGAGGACGATCATGTGTTAACAAGTTTTTCACCAGCATCAATATTCTTTATCATTCGTCCTCTTTTATATGGACTTGGAATTAGCTACGTGAAACTCCGATTGATAGAATTGAAAAGCTTCTTTTTCCTTTTTTTTCACTTTATCCTTGCTATGTCCAGAAGGCGTGTTATAGGTAATAGGTTGATGTTTAAATCTGTTCATGCACCAAATTTTCATATTGAAGGATGTTGATGGAAAGTAACTGGTCTACCTGTTTCAAAGGCATTGGTTTGGTGTTTCCTGTCGAACCGATTAATAGAATTCTTGATCCCTTGTGCCTGACCTCTCTTGGAAGAACAATTTATCAGAAATGATAAAAAAAAACTCCTCATGGATACGCAAAAACTAAAGGAATATGTTGATAACTCCTACTTAGTTTAATAGGAAATCATGGAGGCAGCAGATTTTGTGTTTAGATAGGAGTACTTTACGTAGAGATGATGATTAACAATATGTCAAAACTCAAATATATTGTGTGTTGCAGGGATCCTTCTCATCAAACTCCAGTGGAGATGGCAAATCCTGTGCATAAAAGATCATCTACTCCAACTTATCGTCGTCGACGTTTCAGTCAGGATCAGAATTCTAAAAGTGTTGAAGAGAACTTCAGGCTTAATGTCCCTGCTAGAAGTGCTCCAGGCAGTGGTTTTACAAGTCCGAATCTTAGCCCGATAAGATATAGCACAGTAGACCTTTTCCATCCTACATTTCATCAGGCATCACCACCTACAGCCACTTCTTCGGATAGATGGGTAGGTTATTCTGCCCAACTTTTGACAGCAAGGGTTACACAAAGTGCTGATCATTCTCCCCTTAGTAGCCCAGCTCGACAAAATCTAGTAAACAAAACTTTGAATCACCAAAATGTTGCTGTGCATTCACATCACAAATCACTCCCGGAAAGTCCTGTGGATTGGCCTGAAGGCAATAATGTGCACCCTCTACCACTTCCTCCCGGAGTTTCACAACAGCCACAGTTACCCACCACTCAAAACAATACGGATAAACCAGATACACCATATGTAAAAGGCCAATGGCAAAAGGGGAAACTTTTAGGTCGTGGTACTTATGGAAGTGTATATGAAGCTACTAACCGGTAAGTATTAAAGTTAGCATTTTGGGAGTTCCTACTTTAGCTGTCGATGTAACGCTTCATTTCTTCTCTTATAGTGAAACCGGTGCTTTGTGTGCCATGAAAGAAGTTGATCTCAATCCAGATGATCCTAAATCTGCCGAATGTATAAAGCAGCTAGAACAGGTTAGTCCTAATGTCCTGCTTATAGGATACAAGAACAGCTATTAAGTGTTTTTCATCAGTTTAAGCTATGAGATAGATTATGAAGAAACATATTTAGTTATTCTTTTTATTGTCTTAGGAAATACGAGTTCTCCGACAGTTGAAGCACCAAAATATTGTTCAATATTACGGCAGTGAAATAGTAAGAACATCTTTCTTTCGAACAATTCTATACCAACAATATGAACATCTCTTTTCAAACATTTTGATGGATTAAGTGCTGTTGGATGTTCAGATGAAAGATAGTTTTTGCATATATCTGGAATATGTTCATCCAGGATCAATTAATAAGTTTGTCCGGGATCATGGTGGAGCTATGACAGAGTCAATAGTTCGAAACTTTACGAGACATATAGTATCAGGCCTGGCTTACTTGCACAGTACTAAGACGATACACAGGTAAATTGCCTGTTTTAACGAAGGTGGTAATGTTAGTTGATTTAATGATCCATTTACAGGCTACTAAAGTCTATATATCGACGATTCAATTTGACTGAAATGAATGCTTTATCTGGTTGGCTAATATGACTCTCAACTCTTCTGGCTTGATGTTTCGCTTAATAGGGACATAAAGGGGGCAAATTTGCTTGTCGATGCATCAGGAATCGTCAAGCTTGCAGACTTTGGATTAGCAAAACATGTATGCTCGGAAAGTTCTAAAGCTTAATAGAATATTCTAATCTCTTTCATTACGTTTTTGTAACGTTTTTGAGTTCTCTTGCATACTATTCCGTGTAGTATGAAATGAGTTATATGTTTCAGCTATTAAGGTTGCCAATTTTGAACGCCATCCTATTTATGCTGCTTTCCCTTTCTCCAGCATTAATCGTTTTGGATGAGGTATAGTTGCTCCTGGGAGACCAGATCCTTTAGGAAATGTAAAAAAAGCAAAAACCTTTTTCTACTCCAAAGTAAAGCAAGCACACGTGATAGAGTAATCTTGGCATGGCTCGATGATCACGAAGTACTGCATCTCCTTCCTTTCCCTTATGACAGAAGTGAACTGTAAAAGGGGGGAAACTAAGATGTGTGACTGAATACGTGACTTGATGCAATCGTTCAATTCTGTTGTCCTCGGCCAATTTCATTTCTCGTGTAGACTTTAAAATGAACTTCATACTTGATACAGCACTCTACTTACAAAATTGAACGATTGCATCAAATAACGTATGGATATACTTTACTTGATAAAGCAATCATCTAGCATTACTGCAGTAATATGATTATGCTTCCCTTTTTTCAGCTGTCGAGTCATGCAACTGAGCTATCGCTAAAAGGGAGTCCACACTGGATGGCTCCAGAGGTATTCGGGAGCTACTTTCCAATACTAGCGAGCTGGTTTCTTTTGCTTGTTGTTAAGGTTTTCTTTTTTTCGTCTCATGCAGGTAATGCAGGCTATGTTACGGAAAGATGCCAATCCAGAACTTGCCTGTGCTATTGATATATGGAGTCTAGGTTGTACTGTAATTGAAATGTTTACTGGACAGCCCCCTTGGAGTGGATTAGACGGGGTAAGCCGTGTTAGTAAACTTCGAGCCCATCATGTTGCTACATACTAGCATATGCCTAAGAAGCTATGTTTCTCGGACTCTCCAAAAATGCTACGTAATTCACTATTTTTGATGGATCCGACATGCAACCCATAGTGTTTTTGAAGAGTTCGAGAAGCATAGCTGAGAAGGAACAAGCAAGACAAAATCATGGCCGATATTTTTTGTGATTCCGAATGTGGTGTGTAAACCATCGCGTATTTCATTTTTTAGGTGAAAGCTATGTTCAGTGCACTAAACAAATCACCACCTGTACCAGAAACGTTGTCTTCGGAAGGAAAGGATTTCCTCCGATGCTGCTTTCAGAGGAAACCTGCAGATAGACCAACAGCTTTGATGCTACTTGAGCATCCTTTCTTAAGTAATACTAATTCGCGTGAAAATAGTGCTACTGTTTCAGGTTCCTCAGAAGATTTTTCGCGGATGAAATTGCATGTAAGTACTACAAGCTTACTAATGCTTAACATAATGCTATTAGATTCCTCTTCTGTTTCTGTTTCTGTTTCACTGTTCTGTTCTCGAGTTGTTTCAACTTTCCATTCATTACCTCTTTTACGACATTTTGCAGAGTCCAAAGGACATGACAAACCATATCATGGAATTGAATTCATCTAGGCAAACAAAATCTCCATATAACGGGTACTAGTGACTTATCGAGCCCTTCTCTTTGCTTTCGTAAATGTTTGGTTCATTTCAAGAGTACTCTTTAGTCAATGAAATCATCGATCGTTCCAATTGACCATTATGCTTATCTTACACAACAAAGGGAAACTTGTGTTCATGTTTCAGTGAAACAAGCCATCAATCACATTCTGTAACGTGCGATTATGGAGCAACTTCTCACCACTCTCCTCGTTCAACACTCGAAATACTTCCTTGTATTTCTTCACCAGAGCTGAACCCTAGTACATTTGCACCAGCCAAGTCCTCAAATAGTATTTTCTCTCCTTTGAACTGAAAATACAAGTGCTTATGTGATATTGTGATACTGTCTGCTCTGGGCTTAGATCCGCACGGAAGTGTGTAAGACCTGGTTACTTGTATACACAACATCTTGACGATGTGAAACTTCTTATCGTAAGTTGGAAGACCTGGTTACTTGTATACACAACATCTTTGACGATGTGAAACTTCTTATCGTAAGTTGGAGTGTCACACTTTTGTACATATTACATTAGTTAGAGACAAAAAGGGCACATAGTAGTTGCAGTATTGTATCCTGTGTACATTGACTACATTTTAAATTTTTTTTGTGAAATTGATGTTTTTTGAGCTATAAAAGGCTTTTATAGACTGGAAATAGATTTTTAATATTGCAACTTAGTAGAGATCTTTATTTAGTAGAGTCTTTGTTTTTTATTATTTCAATTTTTCGATCTAATAAAGTTGTCTTTGATTGATGCGAAACCAAAAGATACACTTGACTTGACGTGATATTGTCCACTTTAAGTCAAACAACATGACTTTTTTTTCCTCACGTCATGTTAAGAGTAGCTTTGAATTGTTTTAGCCGATATCAAAATGAATAATGCGATGAGATGAGTATGGAGATAGCAGAGTAATAATAAGTGTCTTTATGTATCTACGAGCCAAAATAATATATTTATTCGTAGCTTTGGAGACACATACACAAAAATAGAGCATATTAATTATATTATTATAATTATTATTATTATTATAAGCACCTTGGCCGGTATTAAATTTTGGTATCAATAAACATGTTTGCAATTATTCAAATTTGTAGAATTATTAATTCATTGAAAATTTTGGTCACGTAAAACAGAGGAAAATAATTTATTTATTAAAAAGACACACAAAATCAAACAAAATCAAAAACAAAAAAGCAGGCGATTGCTCTTGTTTGTTGGACTGAATCCATGTTATTCGAAGAGTGACGGAGATAGAGTTTTTATAAAAAAAAATTTTATCATCTATTATATATACATGTTAAATATAAAAATTGCAAAAAAAAAAATCCATATAACAAGTCAAACTAATTAGTATTGCAAAAAAAAAAATCCATAAGTACTCTAGAAACAAAATGAAGGGAAAATATTTACCTTTCCCTTTATGTTTTTATCTCAACTTTCGTTTAATTTAGACTCGTATCAGATATGTAAAAAAAATATTTACATAATTTAACTTCAAAAGCTAACTCTGAATTTAAGTGAAGATCGTCCTGGACCATTAAAGGGGATAATCAAACCGCCCATTGAAAACGAAATTCTGACATCCTCGTACGTATCATAGACAACATAAGTCATCAATGGGTCTAACTCTGATATCATACGAAGAAATAAACATTATTGAGTCTGACTCAACTTCAGAAGTATATATATATAAAAAAAATCAAATCACCAATTGAGAACACCGATATAAGAAAATTCTTACATGTATACCAGACATAAGTTATTTTTCTGAAGTACGTACGCAAACTCGAGACGTCTTGATCAATGAAGTCTAACAAAGAAAATACTCAATTCTTGACTAGATGCACCATCAGGATTAATCATATAAAATGCTTCTGAATCTTTTGATCCAACAACTCTATCAAATCTTGCCCTCATATAAGTTATTTCACCATCAACATTATTATTATTATTATTATTATCATGTAATAATATTGGACAAGGTAAAACTCCCGCGCCCATCGAAACACCTCTTAATAATTGCATAACATGTGCTTCATCATCACTCATATTTTTATTATTCCTTCTTATTGAATAACCAAATTTTCTTCCATTACAATACACACCCCATACAAATTCCTCCAACACTTTCTTTTTATGTGTTTTAGTTTCACTTTCTAATGCCAATCTTACTATATCTGATCCCATTTCCTTATGAAAAACCCCGGTAAGCATCGGTAGCTCGATGACGAAAATAGGAGGTCTATGAGGATCTTCTTGTATTGCTAGACTTACTCTACCTTTTTTGTAACCAAATAATGTGATGGTTGTGGCTTTATCTGTTAACATTGGTTTGTTTCTTGGACGTCCACCTAGTAATGCAACCATTTTGCAACCTGTTGTTAACATAGGAAGGAGTTTGAACATTTTAAGAATGCCACCACTTGTACTAGTAGATGATTTTCTTGATTTTTTAGGGTTGGTGTTAGAAGGACTAATCGTCGTCGTCGTTGTTGTTGTTGTTGTTGAATGATTCGTGGTACATTGGAGTAACGAGAGTAAAGGAGGGGTTTCGATTTGGTTGAAAGGGCTACTAGAGTATATAGAAGATGGTTTAGGGTTTTGGTTCTTGAATCGAAAGGCCATTCTTGTTGAACGAGAGGGAAATGAGAGAGAGAGATCAATGATTTTGATGTGTGTTTTGTTATTTATAAAGGAAAATAGGGTTGATGTGTTACGATACAGAAGAGATCAGCATGATCTGTACGTAAGAATGACATATACGAATCGAGAAATCGAGGAATGGTGGAATTCTTTTATATAAAGAAATATGTGAGGTTTGGAGAGAAAATGATATAAGAGAAGTTAGGAAAAGGCTTATTGTTGGAATTAGGTTGAAATGGGGATTTATTTGTTTTTTTCAAGTGGGGAATGAAAGACATGGCCACATTTTTTTAAAATTTTATTTAAAGATTTATTAATTTTAAAAAATATTATATCCAACAAAAATTGTAGAAATATTAATTAATTTGGTATAATTATAAAAGATTGATTTTATTATAAATTAAATATATATTAAAGATTATTAATAATGATGATCGTCGGTATGTATTGATTATTGTGAGCTGATAGAAATCGAAATTGTGATTGATTGATGTGAGCTAGAAATAGGGATTATAGAGTGGTGTACTCTAGAATTGAGAGTTGTACGATTAAAAAAAAAACAAATTGAGATATGAATGATTAGATAATTTTATTAATGAAAAAATTGAAAATAAATATAGAACCTAAGTGGAAACAAATAATATAAACAAATAAAAGAAAAAAAGGGGGCTCTTCAACTTTCATGGACATATTCTTTGGATAAATTGTTCTTTTTTATTTTCTTATTACATATTCGATTTTGGATTAATATATTATTGGGTGTCTTTATATATCTTTTTTGCATAGTTTAATAATATTATTTGAAATTGCGAATAAACATATGTGATATTAATAAATAAAAATAATCTTTATTGATATTAAGATAATAATAATAATAATAACATATAATTCTTGTTACTATTATTGTTATATTAATGTCAATAATAACATATAATTCAGAATTCTTTTGGAATGACTCAGTTGGTTTAGAGGGTGATTATCTACATGGATGACTTGGTATTGATCTCCCTTAATGTCTTCTAAGTCGAGTTTTTCGCATGGGACTTGCTTAGTCCGACTTGCATTCCCTGTAAAATTATATACTATTGCATGGTGAAAGAGTTACTCAATACGCACGAAATGCTCACTATAAAATAGACATCATAATATAGTATCGCAATAACGAAATTTAAAAAAAATATATATTATTTTTAAAAGATTGAATGGAAGGAAACATCACAGTATAGTCTTCTCATTTCAATCAAATTCTATGTTTTTTTCATTTTACAAAAAGAATAAAGTACATGTACAAATAGTAAAGAAAACATTATTCATTAATAATTTTTAAAAATTAGGTTTAAAGGAGTATTACCACTATTTTTTATATTTTTATAGAAATAAAGTTACATAAAGTTTAAATAATTGTCATTCTACTGCTAATTAATACTAGGATTTTTTTATCTAAGATATTTAACACAAAACTAATGGTTTATCAAGGAAATATAAGGATTAAAAAGTGAAAAATCTTATTTATAATCTATCATAACCCTAAGTTGGTATAAACCAAATATTTCATGTAATAAAAATACTAATTAAAAATGATTTGGAAAGTGATAAGATAAGAATATATATATACATGTATATTATATGGTTGGACCCTCAAAAATTAATTTATTGAGTGCAAAAAAAAAAAAAAGAGATGAAAAAAGGTATTTTCTTTTTTTCTTCTAAGTATGATATTTTGCATGTGCCATTCTGAATATCACATGGAATATCAACATCAATTTCCTTTATGCCTTTTTTATCTTACTTTATTTTTTTTCACTATTATTGGTTCAATTCATCCATCCCCAAAAGGCCAAAACTTTGCTTGTTATACCCCCTATTGTCAATTTGATACTTACTTTAATATTATATTTGACATTTTTATATATGTAAAGTGATCACCATCCTTTTCAACTCAATTGTAACAAGTATGGTATATAATTCTTTCATATCTCAAAACTAATGTAAGGGTGTATTTCGCTGTACGAAGCATCTTGTATTTGTATATGAAAAGGTATATTATATAAATGTATTTTTTAAATCAGTCCCATCTGGTATTATTGTTTTTCAACTTTGGATGCATGTGTATAAAAAGGTCGTTAAACTTGTATAGAGTTTAAAAGGTAGACACACACATCATACTTGGCGTCTTATGTGGCAGACCACTCCCTACACGACATCTTACACGGTATCCTGTATGTATTTACCATGTAGAACGTGTGTGCATATTTGTTCGACCTTTGATAAGTTTAAGTTTCTATCAATTATGCATATTCAGAGTTGAATTTGCGATCTATAAATTAGGCTACATAAATTTGCATTTTAACTTGACTTCATTTGGCATTTAACGTCCTCCAACTTTGAATGTCCATAAGTATGCACTTAAACTTGTATATAGAGTTGAACAAGTAGACACACACATCTTACTTGACATCCTACGTGACAAATCACACCCCTACATGACATCTTACGTGACGTCCTATGTATATTTTTCACATAAGATATGTGTGTCTATTTCTTCAAACGTAAATATATTTATTTATTTGAGCATATTCAAAGTTAAAAAAATATAGATACCAGATAAGCTCAAGTTAATATAGAGAAAGAGAGAGATCGAAGAAAATATGTAACATTTTCCCCACAAATCTTAAAATCATTTTGCTATCACATTAATATGTGTCCCTTTTATAGTTGGTCCATTACATGTTTATATACACACATCATGTCAAAATGGACACCATTAAAATTGATTCTTTTATTGGTAACTCAAGCAAAAGTTAAGTAATATTTATTTTATATATATTTTGACAATGTGGCCACAAATTCTTTAGTGTAATGGATCGCAATATAATTATGGACAAACACTGGCCTACTCCCTTATCATATATCACATGGAGAGATTGAAAAGAAAAAAAAAGTTGGTGGTCATGTCCATGAAATCAAACCACTTTTGACGTCGACCGAATCAGAATTTGAAGTTTATACATTTAAAATTTTAATTTTATTAATTTTAAATGTATGTTAGATAAATTCTTTAAGATAAATACAGAGTTTAAACAAAAACTATTGAATTTTCTATCGAATTTGTTTTCAACAATATAATCGACTAAATTTTAGGTGTGGAAGACATATTATCTAGACATTGGTTAGGCGTACACACATGGTTTTGAAGCACATGACATGACATGGCAAATCGGACAGAGTTAGAATTTTGTTCGTAAGTTCGGTATGATTTAGTAATTTTAGTTCAAATTTTATATTTGCATTTAAAGGTTCACTTTAAATTAAATGTATAAATAAATTATTTAGAATTTGTAAGCTGTCTTTTCTAGAGCTCTAAATTTATAAACTTAAAAATCTAATTTTCTTATGCGTGACAAGTTGTCGCAACATACTAGCTAGGCTAAAAACCTTGTATGTTGCCGCGACATACTAGCTAGGTTAAAAACCTGCATTTTCCCTTTAAAATTAAAGGTAAGAAGATAAGTTTGTTTGTAGAACTGTCAAAAATGGTCAGTCCAAGCCTCATGGGCCAAGGAATTTGAAGGGTTAGGGCGAATCAATTCTTTATTTTGAAGGACCTGAAAGTGTTCAACCCAACCCAACCCTAGAAGGGTCGAGGACCCACCCTTCTTTTTCCATTTTTTTTCTTTTCAAACTTACAATTCTATAACATCAAGAAAATGAGAAGATTTTCAACTCAAATATGGCAAACAATGGTGTTTGTTTCGATAACACTAGTAAAAAAATTAGTGTAATTAGCATGTATCTCGCATACTAGATACGCGAGCGAGATAAGAGAGTGACAAGCAAGATGGGAGGGAGGCGAGCACGCGAGATTTATCTATGCAACCTAGATACACGCGAATTTACTTAGATAGAGTGTTTCTAGAACATATTAACCTAATTCTGAGTCCATGTGTTTCGAGATACTTGTCTTTGGACGTACTAAAATCTAGTATGATTCATAATACAACATAACTCAGGGGCGGTTGATTATCCTGACCTGGGGTTGGAGCCAACGAGGAAGGTGAATTCCATAGATCCGTTTGGGAAATGGAATGAGTAGGGCTCACTCTGTTTACTTCCTCCTTTAATAAGATCGGGATGAGGGTATATAAATAATTAGATTATATATAGTGAAATTATCATAAGTTACCACCCTTCAATAAAAAATTTCGGCACACAGACCGACCCCGGTCTAGCCCCAATCAAGCCTCAAGAGGCTTATACAGATTGACCTTATAGCCTTAATTTTAAATGAGCTTGAAAAATCGTATCTTAACCCTACCCAGTAGCGGGTTGAGTTGGGCCAGCCCCATTAACTAAGCCTACTTTGACGACTATATTTATTTGGTTTCAAGTGAAATATTTTTGTTGAATATCAATTATATGAAGTAATCATCTTTTTATTGTGATAATATTTTTTTTTAAATCGATAAATCACACCAAATTGATAAAATAAATAGAAAAAGAAAAGACTAACAATTATATGATCCACCAAATTTTCCATTGTAAAGCTGACATGTCTGACCATTCATATAATTGTTGTAATAATGGGTCCAGTGTTACATTTAACTGATCTTTACTTTAATTTGATTGAGATGAAATTTGAGCACTTAGTTCCAAAGGAACTCTAACTAATTACTTTGTATCTTTTAGAATGATTGTTGAGCCCCCCCCCCAACCCCACCCCACCCCACTCCACTCCACATTTAACGCACGTAGACTGATTTCATAAAATATCTGTCATTTTAAAGATAAAAATATGAATGAATAAGCAAGTATGATTCATTAATCAATAACAATTCATGTAAAAAGTACTATCAAGTTGTCATGTATTATTGGGTCGATATAAAAAGTACATATTTTTGACGGACATTAGAAAAATCACAAAAGATACTTCTTTGTCTACTTCAGTTATTTGGTACGTTCTTTATTTCAATTTATATGATATTCTTTTGTGTGAAATTTGTATCATGTGAGTTTAGATTTGCATTTTTTAAATATATTAAATTTTTCTAATTCAATTGAGTTTGAAAGTTGATTAAATTAAATATCGATAATTAACGGACACACAAAAATATTTGATATTTCACAAGAGAAAATGATAGCATGGGATTAGGACAACAATTTAGTTTTTTCATGTTTTTGTTTAAACAAATTTTAGATGAATATAAAGTGATTTTCAACTTTCTAATTGTGGTTAGTTGCTAACGTAATTAAATACGATCAAACCTCTGTATAACGATGTTATTTTTAAAAATGTTTTTTTGATTGTTATTATAACAAGATATTAGTATACAAAACATATAACATAACATATCATTAAAATCGATGTTGAAAAAAATTATATCGTTATAATGAAATAATATTATAAAGAGATCTGATTATATCGTAAAATATAGTTGGTTGTATCAAATTGGTAATCGGGCTGAAAGTAGCAGGCTTGTTGGAAGCAAAATAATTGGGCTTCTTATTTTTACGGCCCAACATAAATGTCAATTTAGAGCAAGCCCAATTAACCACATCTTAGGTCTAATCCGATAAAGAAACCGACTTGTTTCGAGGAAAATTAACCTAAATAGTCGTTCATCAAAATAAAAAATTGACATAATATGTGTATAAAATTAGTATATGATATATGTGTGTATGTATATTGTCTAGCGATGGTAAATAATTTTGGTCAAACGGGCAAATGTGTAACCTACCCTATTTTAAACAGTTAAATCCTTCTATCTTTTTAAGAACTTGAAATCGAAGAAGAAAACTAGAATAATGAGTTGGAGGAAACGTTGATACATCGCGTGACATTAGGCATGAATTATTTGGGGAAGTTGAGCGTGAATTGGGGAGAAGAAGAATAATGTATCTGAGAATATGAGAGAGGGTGAGGAAAATTTGAATTTTTATTATTTTTTCGAATGATAGAAAATTTTCAGGAATATGGTTAAAAATAATGTATAGTTAGGTTATTTTTCCTTTTAAAAAGGCCATTCAAATATATACATTCGCCGAAATTTCATTTGTGATACTGCTACCGTTGCTTCTCTATTTTTTTTCCTACGTGCGCTAGGAAATTGAAGACTCGTTACTTATTTGTGATTAATTTTAGTTGAAAAAACTTGAAGAACACCATCATTAGATGTTATTAACCTTGTTTTGTAAAAGAAAATAAAGTGAGTCTTTTTATTTTCTAAAAGTTTGAATTGAATTTAATAATTTAAAATTATTATAATTGGTATTATAAGACTGTACATTAAATTTGAAGCATATTTTATAATTAAAACATAGCTAAAATGATATGGTTAGAATAATATAATAATAATACTAATAAATTATATTCCTTTTAATCATGTTTTCCATTTGTCCTAACCATAACCAATGAAGTATTAACACCTTATTATATTACAATCATAATATAATAAGCCATTAAGTGTTTATATTATCCTTTTAATATAGGACATACATAATAGGGAATAATGAATCACTTTATATTATCCTTTTAATATTGTTGACTTTGTCACTAAAAATATTTAATTGGTGAATACACAATGATTATAATTGAAATTAGTTAATTAAAGATGACAAAAGGGACATCTCATTTATTAATTTATTATTACAAAAAAAAAAGAGAGTTGAATGAAACTTTACTTTGTTGTGATTACAATGTTATAAGTAAATAGATTCTCCAGAGAATTTGGATATCCAATTAAGGATTAAGATAGTTAAGAAAGTCATGATTAATTAAGTGGTTACAATTTGTTCAAATAGCTATTTTTGTTGATTCATTTTGTTAATATAAAATAATAGGGTAAGTGAAAAATATACCATATATAATATGATATATTCTAGATAACATTTATTCTTTTATCATTTCTTTATTAAATAGACAAATGATATAAATATAATAGACTAGAAATGCAAGATACCAAGTCAAACTATCCTATGATGTTTTGAAAAACAATTCAAAAAATAAGTATTTAGTGTCGAGGATAAAATATATAAATAAAATATATTTTTTAATATATAAAAAATGAAAAAGTAAAAATGAAAATCTAATTTTAAGAATAAGTGACAAATAAAAGCGAATAAAAAAAGTATTTGATAGGTAGGAAAATTTCCATGTATAATATTTTTTTGATTTTTTCAAAAGGAAAATAAGTGGCATCTTACTTATTATTTTGTACGAAGGTATGTAAAAAATACTATCTTTGTCTCTATTTATTTTTTAAATATTTTCTTATTTGATTTTTTTTTTACTTGTCATTTTTAACAGTGAGTCAATGACTTCAAAAATCATGATTAGTAAATATATTTGGAGTGAGTTAATAATTTAGAAATACATGGTGAGTGAATATATATGGGACTCCATCAATTAATATGGTTAAAACAGTAGATTCATCACACTAATTATTTAATTAGAATATGTGTTACGTCAAAATTTGACAAGTAAAAAAAATAAGAAAGTATTACCCCAAAGCATTTGCATATGATCTTTAAAAATACAAAGAGAGGGGGTGGGGTGGGGGTGAATATCGTGAGGTGTGTTATAAAGAGAACACGACTAATATAAATTGCCATTTGTTGAATTCTTTTTCTATTTTTACTAGAAAAATCATTTTATTCATTTATAAAAGAAAAACTTATTAACACATTAAATAACAAAAAGAAAACATTACATAACATTCAAAGATAACGATTACAAAATAACACAATCAAAGCACAAAAAATAATGAATAGTAACATAAAATCGAAGGACAAGAAATTGCGTTTCTATCTATACTTGTGGTCTGGGGAGGATTAAATCTGACTTTTAAAACTTATCCTAAGGTGAAACTTTACTCCAATCAAACTTAAGGGGTAAAATCACAATTTACCAAAGATTCAAGAACAGCAAAAAAGAAAAAACATTTCCTGTTTTGCCACTTGTATCAACAAACAACAAACTGGCAAAACTTCAATCCATCTGTCTTTAATCCACAAAGTTCCAAATATAGAAAAGTAAAAATTAATTTTTTTTTCCAAATCCCATAAAAAAAGATTCAATTTTGTGTAATAATTTGTGTAGTTTGTCCTCAAAAAAAGTCAAGAGGAATATGCTGTACATGTTCCGTGAAAAAAAAGGTTTCTTGCAGACATCCTCACATAATAAATGTTGCTGAGTCGGTTCCTTAATCCAAACATATATTTATATTCCATATTTAAGCAGACCCAAGTTGCTGTTTTTGCTGTCTGTCTTTCTATTTCTGTATTGGCTTTTGTTTCTTAAATTCAGGTACCATTTTCTTCCTGTTTCTATTTGTAGAATTATGGGCATGTAGCAGTTTATATTGATGTTATTGTTTTGGTTGTTTGGTTGTTTGATTGTTCTTTCCTGTTTCATAAGTTGGAACATTGTAATGTGGAAGTTATATGTTTTTTCAGGGAACCCTAGTTAGTTTTGGATTAAGGATCTTTGAATTTGATTTGGGTGTGGCTTAATAAAGAAAATTGGGGGTTGGATTTGCTTTGAATATCTTTCTTTTTCAGTAAAGTTTGAATCTTTATAATGGGGGTGCTAAATTTTTCTTGTAAGTTATTAGTGGGTTGGTTATCTTTAGGAATAGTTTAATTAATGTGATCTTTGGTGCACCCAAGGATGTGGCATAGTGGTCAATGAGGTTTAGAACCATGAGGTTTTGTGTCCAGTTTCCGGTTTAGAGAAAAGATACTAGGTGATTTTTTCCATCCGTCTGAGCTTCAGTTGATAGAGTTATTTGGGAGTTGGTGGGAGGTAGAGGTTTAGGGTGGGAATTAGTTGAAGTGTGCGTAAGCTAGCCGGGACACTATGGTTGTGAAAAAAAAGGTGATCTTTGGTAGTGCAGCAAATCATTTTTTGGGGGGCAGGGTTAAGGTTATGGTTTATGGAGTAGTTTCTTTTGTTAGTTCATGGAGTACTTTGGTCCTCGTCGAATAATTTGCATTTCTAATGTTTTGAAAAAAGAGCAATACAAAATTTTTAAACCTGTTAGTTTATTTTTGTTGTTAAGTTTACGTTAAGGTTCAGGTGGGAAGGGTAAGTTAAGACTTTAGAGTGCTTCTAATTTTAGAGGAACTGTTATGCCTTAACAGACAAGTTAGTTACCAGTATTGTAATAATTAGAATGGACATGGTAGAGCATGGACATGGTAGAGCTAAACATATAGAGAATTGTTATCACTTTATCCTTCGGGGTGGCCCAATGGTTTGGTCTTGGGATTTCCATGTTGGAGGTCTCAAGTTTGAAACCCCTTGCCAGTGAAAGCAAGGGGTTTGCCTTTGGGGTCGATTTGTCGCACAGGGCCTGCGTAGTGTGATTTACCTGTGCGCCTCCAAAGGCCCTTGTTATAGAAAGAGAGAATTCTTATCACTTTGATGCTACTATTATTGTGATGTGAGCGGTTCAAATTGGTTGAATCTTTCTCAATAAACCTGGCTGAGTATAGCATTTTGTGGTAGATAATATTTTCTTCTCTCTCCTCCCCCCTCCCCCTCCCTCCTTTTCTTGTGACTAATTGATTCGAAATATGGACAATGTATGAATATTGTAAGCTCAATGCATGTTTAGTTGATTATTTGGATTTAAATCCAACATTCAAATATAGTTCTCTGTTTTGCAGTTGTCTCTTGGGATCTAGAATTAATCAGCTATAACTCTTATCACGTAAAGTGGCGTGAAGCCAAGGCTGCTTAATGGGGATCGATAAGCAGCCGAGTGGTATTCTTGATACTCTGAAAATGGAGACAGTCAGGACAATATTTCCCTCGTATCGCTACCCCCACGAGCATTCACGTCATTTTGTGATTGCTGTGGTTGTGGGATGCTTGTTTTTCATATCATCAGATAACATGCACTCACTTATTCAGAAATTCGATATCAAATGGTGGTCTATGTATGCTTGTTTGCTAGGATTCTTTTACTTCTTTTCGTCTCCATTTATTGGGAAAACAATTAAACCAAGTTACTCAAATTTCAGTCGCTGGTAAGTCATCTATTTCTATTTATGTCGTAGTAACTCATTAATCAGTAAAATCTAGCTAACAACAGAAATTCTGTTTTGCAGGTATATTGCCTGGATATTAGTGGCAGCTTTATACCACCTTCCAAGTTTTCAATCAATGGGAGTAGATTTAAGGATGAACCTCTCTTTGTTTCTGACGTTATACGTATCATCCATTTTGTTTCTTCTTGTTTTCCATGTGATATTTATCGGGCTTTGGTATCTTGGACTTGTTGCTCGTGTGGCAGGAAGGAGGCCTGAGATTATGAAAGTCTTTCAAAATTGTGTTGTAAGTTTTGAGAATGCATTTTAACCTCTAACGTAAGGTTACTCTGGTCCTTATCTTATTGCTTCATCATCTCTTAGGTCATAAGTATAGCCTGCTGTGTTTTCTATAGCCACTGTGGGAACCTCGCTATAGTAAGGGAGAAGACATTCGACTGGAGGAATTCTATATGGTTTTCCTTGTGGAATAAGGGAGAGGGAAATGCATGGCTTGTGAAATTCATCCGCATGACGGAATTTAAAGATCAAGTTTGCAAATCTTGGTTTGCTCCAGTTGGGTCTGCTAGTGATTACCCATTCTTGTCCAAATGGGTCATCTATGGAGAGGTATTATCTCTCACAATATAAGGGTTTTCATACTTCTCATCTGAGAGACCTTGAGGACCTTATGCTGCAATTTTCTTTTAACATTTGAATTTCACCTTTCCAGTTGACTTGCGGCGGCTCATGCGCAGAATCATCAGATGAAATTTCTCCAATTTATTCATTGTGGGCCACTTTTATTGGCCTATATATGGCAAATTTCGTTGTGGAAAGGTCATCTGGGTGAGTAGTTCAATTTTTCTTTCACATGTTAGAGCTTGTTTTCTCTTTCCCTGTTAAGTTGGATGTGGACAACTCTATATAAGGGGATTCAGATCTGAATATAAACCATGTTAAGAGTCTTATTCTGGAAAATATCCTCACCGTTTGTGCTAGAATAACTTAGGTTATAGATTCCATGCTGGATTAATATGCTGTCAAAATCTACCTACTAGTCAATTAGCTAATGTTCCAAAATGGATGAAAGGATTAAGCTTGCCAGCCACCAGGGTTATATGCTCCCCGCAATGGGTTGCCGTGCTTATGCAAACGTGCAACCGGCGTATCTCCATAACACAATTTATTAATTCCTGGCTAATCATCATATTCTTATGCTTTAAATATTATACCTGGTTGGTGCTATATAAACGTATTAATGCTTAATATGGGCAATTTGGTTAGATTATGAGTATAAATTTTTTAGTTATAAACTTTAGCTGGCCTGCATAGATGAGATTGTTAGCACAATTGGTCTTATGTGATATTTCAAGGTCTGATTTTTTTGTTTTAATGTGTACTTATTGACAGATGGGCTCTATCACGCCCTTTATCACTCAAGGAGTTTGAGAAATTGAAGAAAAAGCAGATGAAACCAGAGTTTTTGGATATGGTTCCTTGGTATTCAGGGTATGTTCTTCACCTGTGTCTCTTTCTGACCCTTTTGAAACCACTGGCAACGCAGATCCTTGGGGAAGAAAGTTGATTAAATTTCCTGATATAACATCATTATTTACCGCAATTACAGGACATCTGCTGACTTGTTCAAGACAGTGTTTGACCTTCTGGTCTCTGTAACTGTATTTGTTGGGCGTTTTGACATGCGCATGATGCAGGTACATTATGATGCTCTGGCTTCATGCTAAAGTATTCAGCTTTCAGTGTGATATTTCTCCTTGTAAAGAATTACTCCCTCAGTTTCAATTTGTTTGTCTTTACTGGACTTGCATGGAGTTTAGAAAAATAAAGAATACCTTTGAATCTTGTGATCTTAAACTAAGATGTGTTAATGTACCAAAATGTCATTTGAATCTTGTGGTCTTAAATATGCCATGTAAGATGTTGGGTGTTAAGAGTTACAAAATGTAGAAAGTGACATCTTTTTTGAAGCAGACTAACAAACAAAATATTAAAAAAAGGGGCATAAGATACTTGATTGTGTTGTAAGAACCTTGACTTTTTAAAGGATAAAGGATATGTGTCTCCTCCTACTTTCAGCAAAGCATTCTCTTACACTTCCAGAGAATGATACATATTGGCAGAGTTCAAAGCGGATTTTATACTTTCTTAAAATGAAATTTGCAGTGGGAAGTGTAGATAATTATCCCTAAATTGTATATTCGCCTAAGAGGATACAAGTAGGTTCACCTTAACATCCTCATCTTTCCCATTGTCAGGCTGCTATGAGCAAGATTGAAGACGGAGCTAAGCAGGACGATCTTTTGTATGATCAGTTTAGTGAAGAGGATGGTATCTGGTTTGATTTCATGGCCGATACTGGTGATGGCGGAAATTCCTCCTACACTGTGGCACGCCTTCTTGCTCAACCTTCAATCCGCGCCCAAAATAATGATTCCAAGCTTACACTGCCACGTGGACGCCTGCTTCTTATTGGGGGTGACCTTGCGTAAGCTCAGAGTTTTTCTTATAACATTAGGGATTTATGCACTTCAGATGAGCAATTCCATGGAATTTTTTTGCATTTTTGCTCATAATAGCACCATCTTATGAGTTAAAGCAGACTTATTATCGAACAGTAAAATGCTTACTTCCCATATCATTTGGCTGCGTATAATGTGATCTTTCTTAGATATCTTTTTAATATCTAGGATTAGAATATTGTGTATTGCTGCGGTTTACACATATTCTTCTTCAACTGGTACCTTAATTTACTTCTGTTATTCACTTATTCTGTCTGCTTACCAAGTTCATGAAAGAGTTCTCATGCGTTGAATAGAGTTAAATTCAGACTGAAAAATAATAGTTCAAGCTGGTGATTTGAGATACATATATATATCTCTGTGTGTGTGTCTCGATATGGTGTGCTTTCTTATGTATCCTAAAGCTGATGGCCGGCGTGGTAGATTTATGCTAAACTGTTGATTCATCTTCAATTTTGATGACTTCTGTGGTAATGATAAAGTGCTCTGTTGTCTTTGATGATGTTACACAAAGTAAATGATCATTATCATGTGCCTGCAAATTGCCAGTCAAAATTGTTGAATCAGTTCATTTCTTATCTTTAAACCAAAATATAAGAAGGTACACTTTGCGTGTGCAACAAATATTTTATATACCTAGAATGGATTAATGAAATTACATTAACATGTCAATATTTGATGCTTGAAAATTATTGGTGAAGAGGACCTTGCAGTGCGACCGTTTCAAAAACTTATTGTGAAGAAATGTCTGAAAATAAGTAGGCGTCACTTGCCATCCTCAATGCTAACACCAAGCCTGGGTCTACCTTTTGTATATAATTAGTGTGAAATGCAATTTATTTTCCTCTGCATTGAATGCATAGATGTGTTGTGTAATCATGTTTCTGGGATGTTCCCAAGCAGGACTTTTCTCTCTGTAACATCAGTTCTTTGGCGTCCAAATTGACCCTAGACATTGTTCTTCTTTAAATTTCGGTTAGAACATGGAATAGTGTTCAAACTGTGTTAACTGATACTCATTTTTGGCTTTCTTGTAGGTATCCGAACCCATCAGCATTTACATATGAGAAGCGTCTTTTTCGTCCCTTTGAATATGCTCTTCAGCCTCCAATCTGGTATAAGGAAGACCATATTGCCGTTAAGAAGCCCGAATTACCTTCCGGCGTGACTGAACTCAAGCAGTATGTTGGACCTCAGTGTTTTGTCATCCCTGGAAATCATGGTTAGTCTAGTTTCTAAGCCTGTGGCTTGTACGCTTGTCTTTCAGTGGAGCAGATAGCTCATGTAAGATTTTATTTGTTGCTTAGTCGAAGTCATTTTTGTGTACTTGTGCAGACTGGTTTGATGGACTTCAGACTTTCATGAGGTACATTTGTCACAAGAGCTGGTTGGGTGGGTGGTTTATGCCTCAAAAGAAGAGCTATTTTGCCTTGCAGCTTCCTAAAGGGTGGTGGATATTTGGTCTTGATCTTGCTCTACATTCTGATATTGATATATACCAGTTCAAGTTCTTCTCAGAATTAATAAGGGACAAGGTATCTTTTTTATACTTTCTAGCCACAGTTGTCACATTGCATTTTATGGAGTCACCTATATTGCTGTATATGCCAAAATTTGTCCGACTTTTTCAAGTGTAGTTCTACTTAACTGGACATTACATTTTTGTATAGATGTGGGCTGTTATGCAAAACATCCTGGATCGCTATGGTAAAATGGTAAATGATAATAATGATTTAAACAAAAGGTTCGTATGGTCTAAGTTACTCTTCACTTTCGATGCACACACCTACATGGATTCTCCAAAAATACTGTACTTTTGGGGAATCCGACACGCACCCGCTGTCATTTATGAAGAGCCCGAGCAATATAGCTTATGGTAGATAATGGTTTTCACATTGCTAAACTGAGCAATGATAGATGGGTAATTATGGATTCCATATAGACAGTTTTCTTCTGTTTTTGCAGCAACACATTTATGAGTTATATCAGTTTGATTTGTTTCTCAGCCAAGGTCTTGTTATGTCTTTGTTATTCAGGTTTTCCTTAGCTTTCAATTTAGGGGTGGGCATTCGGTATTTCGGTTCGGTTCGGGTTTTTTTTCGGTTTTTTCGATTTTTGTAAATTGTGTACCGAATACCGAACCGAAATATTTCGGTTCGGTTCGGTTTTTGTTAATTCGGTTCGGTTTTTTATTTCGGTTTTTTAATGGGCCTGTTTAGTGGGCTTTTTAAACTTAACAATTTTTTCAATTTTTTGTTTGATTTTTCAACTTAATGGGCTTTGATTTTTCAACTTAATGGGCTTTGATATTTCAACTTAGGGTTTCTTATTTTTTAAAAAAAGATTATTTAATATTAATAATTATTAAATATAATATAATTTATAAATTATAATTTAATATTTCGGTTTAAACCGAAATACCGAATTCCAAAGTAACATGTACCGAAAACCGAACCGAAATGCCGAAAATACAAAAAATTAAACCGAATACCGAACCGAAAACCGAAATACCGAAACCGAAATTCTGAAAAATTTCGGTTCGGTTCGGTGTTTCGGTTTTCCGGTTTTTATGCCCACCCCTAGCTTTCATATGTGATTGATGTCCGGAGGAAGTGATCAAATTTTTTCGTTCAACTTTCTTGGAATGTAAATATGTTAAAAAAGTGACCAAGTCTCTTACTATTTCATGCTATCCTTTTTTGTCACATCTTTGCTTAGATCTGAGTTCCCCTGGCATTTGCATTCTGTCTGGTAGAGGAAAAAGGGAAGGACTGGAGAGGGTAAAAGTTGAAGGTGAAATGGAAGTTTTAAGTATAAGGTGGATACGAGTAATATTTGGCTAAGCTTTTGGGAGGCCAAAGTCCCTTTTTTTTAAAAACATGAGGTGTTTGGCCGAGCGGAGAAAATAAGTGCTTTTGGGGAGTAGCATAAGTTGTTTTTCAAAAGCTAAAAATGCAGATTTTTCCCGAATTACTATTGAGAAAATACACTTAGAAACACTTTTTAAAAGCTTGTCCAATCACTAAATGCTGCTCAAAAGTGCTTTTCAAAATTAAATAACCAAACACAAACTGCTTCTCACCAAAATACTTTTTGAAAAAACACTTCTCAATATATGCTGATTTTAGAAGCTTGGCCAAACAGACTTGATATGGTTCTTAAGAAGAAAGGACTTAATCAAGGAAGAAGAGAAGTGGAGCAAATTGATGCCCCTCAATATAAGCGTGTCATTCTTGCACTTATTTGTTGATGGTAAGAAGTAAATGGAAAATTATATCACTGTTTTTTTTTTCCAGTAAAAACTGTTAATAAGACTGTCTACATTAACTTGGAAGTTTCAGTTCAAACTTCATTTACGTTATTTTCTGTTCTTATTTAAAAATATTCAAGCTTTTAGTTAAAATTTGAGAAGAGCATAGTGATCGTATTGGATAAGGAGAGAACTAATGATCCATCGATTTGGCGTTTACAGAATTAGTATGATTCTATAATATTCATTTAGATAGCTGCAGGTGCTTATGGGTTTGTCAAGCCTTGTTGCGTTCTTATAAATTTGTGCATTTACCATGTTTTCTTTTACCACCCCCCACCCCCACAAACCAACCAATCCCCCTATAGAGTTGAAAACTTTAAGCCTTGATTAACGGATTTCAGGTGGGCGAGAATGATTCTGTGATCATTATGACACATGAACCTAATTGGCTTCTCGATTGGTACTTCGATCAAGTTACTGGAAAGAATGTCACGTACTTGATACGTGACCACTTAAACGGGAGATGTAGACTTCGAATTGCTGGGGATGTGCATCATTATATGCGCCATAAGTTTGTTGAATCGAAATCGGATGAACAGGTTTATGTCCAGCACTTACTTGTTAATGGTTGTGGGGGTGCTTTTTTGCATCCGACACATGTCTTCAAGAATTTCAACAGTTTATATGGAACAACTTATGAGTGCAAAAATCCTTACCCAACTTTTGAAGACTCAAGTAGGGTACGTAATAGATCTCCTTTATTTTATATAGACAGACTAGTTAGTGCTATAAATAAGGCCTGTAATATGCTATAACTTTTTTGCAGATTGCTTTGGGAAATATATTGAAATTTAGGAAGAAAAATTGGCAGTTTGATTTTATTGGTGGAATCATATACTTCATGTTGGCCTTTTCTATGTTCCCCCAGGTAACTTTCTATTTGATTTTCGATCTGTTTCTTTTAAAGATTACTTTAGGTATCATTATCCGCACTGTCCCTCATGGTAACCCAGTTAGGGCTGTTTGATAAAACTAATATATGACATCTTAAGTTGAAGTTGTATCTCAAAATAACTTACCAGAATACATAAATAAACACTCAAACTTGGTCTCAGTGGACAAGTAAACACTCCAACTTTGAGAGTGCACAACTAGACACCTCAACTTAGTCTTTACTGACAACTAAACACTCCAATTTGTCCCAACCGTGTCTTGTGGACACTGGATGCAGATGTGTCATATAAGCTTTTCAGGTGTCTTGATGATCCTTTGGTAATTAGTTGGAGTTTTCAAGTGACATAGAGGAGAGAGTTTGAGATGTCTAGATATGTATACTCAAAGTTGGAGTGCTTACTTGCCCGTAGTGAATTTGAGTTGTATTTTTCTGTATTATGCCAATAATTATATCTCTTAGTTTTATATTAGGGAAATGTTGTGTGGCAATATCTGATCATTATCATTGAAATATCAGTTATTTCCTTCTACGTATTGTAAACTTATCGATCTTATAATGTATTAGGCATTTATTTTCGATTGTGTTGTTTGACGTTATGATACATTATTTTAACAATCATTAATTATCCATCTGTGTACAAAATCACTGTTCATTAAGAGTTAAACTTATTGAGTTTTTTTTTTTTTATGAGTTCAAGTTTAGTTTAAAATGCTTACTTTTAACTATGACCTTATGATTTTTTTCTTTTATTTGTTTATTATTGTTGTTGGTCCAATGTATAAATTTACAGATTGATGATTTTCAGTTGTGTTTTTATTGCTTCCAACGTTCAAGTGCCTTTATGCATCAATTGATCTATTATTTTGTTCTCAAGTACATCAAATGTGTGATTATGTATATATAATGTTCAGTTTAGACGTTTCATCTAACAGATTTCTCTAAATGTTTTATTTCCCATTTGCTTCTAGTGTCGGCTTGATCACATTTTCAAGGATGATACATTTTCGGGTCACATGGGAACCTTCTTCGACACAGTGTGGGGCTTATTTATGTATATATTTGGACGCTCATATGTCTCCTTGACCGGTGCAGTGCTGCTATTAATAATTGCAATATCCTTTGTGCCATCCAAGGTGCCTTGGAAAAAGAAAGTGGTAATTGGGATTCTTCATGTGTCTGCACACCTAGCTGCAGCTGTGATTCTTATGCTCTTGCTCGAATTAGGCATTGAGACATGTATTCGCCATAAACTACTTGCAACTTCTGGTGAGATTTTGCATTTTGTTTCTATTTTGTGATCGTCTTTGAGTGTGTTTTTCCATGTCCGGTTGGTCAAATTTTCGTTACCCGAAATGTTTTTAGCACCGATTTCTTTGTTTCATGTTTTTGCATCTATCTATTTCCTTTGCTAACTACTGAATGCTGCAATCCAGGTTATCATACTTTATATGAATGGTACAAATCAGTGGAGAGTGAACATTTTCCAGACCCAACGGGTCTTAAGGAACGAATTGAACACTGGACATTTGGCCTTTATCCGGCATGTATTAAATATCTCATGTCTGCTTTTGATGTTCCTGAGGTAAGAATTCTGCCCGACGAGAGTATTGCTTTGTGACGACTCAAATCGTTTAATTATATCTTATGCATGTTTTTAGGTAATGGCAGTTACTAGGAATACTATCTGCAAGAATGGGATGGATTCACTATCTCGAGGGGGTGCTGTAATTTATTATGCATCCGTCTTCCTTTATTTTTGGGTCTTTTCAACTCCGGTGGTTTCTTTGGTATTCGGAAGCTACCTATACATTTGCATTAACTGGCTTCATATACATTTCGACGAAGCCTTTTCATCACTTCGTATTGCTAACTACAAGTCATTTACACGGTTTCATATCAACAACAAAGGCGATCTTGAAGTTTTTACCCTTGCAGTTGATAAGGTATTTTGTCGCTTCTCCCCTGTGATACTAAAGGTCAAGTGCATCATCGAAAGTTGGACTCGAGCTGTTTACATTCCTCTAATAATATCTCTCAATTTGTAGGTTCCGAAAGAGTGGAAACTAGATCCTAAATGGGACGGAGAGTCAAAACATCCGCAGGATCCAAGTTACCTTCAGAAATTCCCGAGCAAATGGAGAGCGTCTTCCCCTAATCAAGATCCTGTAGATACTGTTCGGATTATCGATCAATTTGTGATTGAAAAGACTGAAAAACATGATTCAGAATTAGCAAACGGGTCAGTTAATCAATAACTCATTTGATTACAAGACTCTTCTACTGTCAGTTTTGTACATATAGGATTTTAGAATTTAGATGGTAAATGATATCATAACCTTTTTCAAAACAAAATCGAATATGTGAAGAGCTGTGACAGATGTTCATTTGAAATCTTATACATAGGTTGAAATTTTTCATCTTTGCTTTGCTTCATTAGCCATTTCAGATCAAATATATACAGTACTGTATACTACTACGCGAAATGGACTAATGTTCATCTTTGCTTTTCGTCATTAGACACTTCACATCATATATATAATATATATATGTATATATACAGTACTGTATATTACGCGAAATGGTCTAATGTTTCTCATTTCATCAGTAAAAGTAGTATTAGTTGCTTTTAGATGCTGGGAAGATGAGAAAAACCAGCGTTGCATGACTTAGTTGGAACATGTTCAACTTGAATTAAACGCTACGTTGAAGAGTTAGCATCTTGCACATTGTAAAAGTTCTCCGCGGTGTTTTAAGGAATGAATTCTATCTATGTTTTGGTATTGGACAATCCTCTCCTCGCATGAGCTAAAACTTTTGATGAGTTAGCCTAATGTCACGGACTTTGCAAAATTTGACTGGCAAAGTGGCGGGACATGACACTAAGGTCCATTTTTGGGAAGGGAAGTGTTAAAAGGCGCCCCTCGATTAGTGGAACATCTTTAACTCTTGGTTTATCGTCTTTTGATCGCGTTGCTAATACTTAAATAAGTGAAGTAGTCGTCGTCTGTTAGGTTGCATATTATTTGAGAAAAACACTCAAATGTATTTGATTTCCTGTATGATGCATATGTGAATGACAAATATAAATGTTCTATAACTAAATGTAACAAAAAAATAGCTACTCAAAATTTGATAATAATTGAGTCTTTTCATTTACAAGATTGATAAATAGGGGCATGATATCTTACGATCTCGATTCGTTCTTTTTTCTCTCATAGATGTCAAACTTCATTCAACTTCGAATTCTATCATGGTCCATTATCGAAACACTTTGTCGATTAATTTCTGACCGCGCTGAATCTCCATCTATCAAATATGTTTTATGTGGTATCACTATATATTTTTAGTATATAGTTAGTCTTTTGTAAGAAATGTCTCATATTTTGTTCCTTTGAGCTTTTTTTGCACTTCATCCCAATTTTCTATTTGTTGGGATAAAGGGCCATTATGAATCTTAACTTGACCACTTTTGAGTTCTCTTTGAGGTAGTCCCAAGAACTCTTGAACATCAGCTAGTTTCTGCAACGACGGGTAAAATATATATAAAAGATTGTAATTTGTCGTTGTTAAGATGATCGATCTTATGTCATATAAAATGGAACAGAGAGGATACGAAAGCCTTACGGTGCGATTTTGAACAATGTCTTCATAGTAAAGTAGAATGTGTCTAGTGCTCTTAAAACATTCCAAAGCTCTATTACCCTTCCTTTGTGCATTCCTCAAATTTGGTATAAGTAATGACATATTCACCATTGGCTTGTATTTAGCCAATACTTTAGCCTGAAACATGTTTTAAAATGTGAAGTTAATGACACGACGAATCGCGATTTCGTAAGACACTTCTAGGGTTTTCATGAGAAATGTTTTCCTCGAAAATGTTTTCATGCAAATCACTAAGCTCCCACCATCCACAGGGTCTAGAAGGGCTCTACTGTACGTGACTATTTCTACTCACGTGGCAACAACTTTATCAGTTACGTCATCATTTCCTTTTTACTAGAAAACGACTTTTTATTGAAGCATGTTTCCTTCCATCATATCAAACACATTGTAAATCGATGTAGCTTTGATCCTTTCATAAACGTTGGCTCATCCGTGTCAACCCTCGAAAAATGCATATTTGACACCATACACACGACAATATTTTTGAAGAGTCAGAGAACGGGAGAAGGAGGGGACGGAAGGCCTTACCTCATACGGAGAATGTGTATGCGATTTATGTGTTCCATTCAACGGTTTAGCATCTTTATCGTACGAGTTAGCGAGCAACGAGATCAACCTGCGTAGCAGATTTCTTCTAAACAGAAATATTGCAGATACACCTCTTCTGTTGAAGTAATCCACAATCTCCTCATGATACTCCAAAGCTCCCTTCAAGTTCATACACATCAACAAGTTGAAAACATCGAAAAAATCGTCAACTAATGCACCTCTAAACGAAGAAAATACGATTAAAAACAGAGTTAATCAGCGAGATTTGTGAACCTAATCATGTCTTTATGTCTAACGGACTGGTGATCTGCTTATACGAACTTGATCAATCCTCCCTTCTTAAGCTAACTCTCAGAGTTGAATTAGACCTAAGGTTCATTTAACGGAAAAAGTTGAATTTGAGACTACGATATGAACATCTTTTACCATCCGAGAAAGGCTAATGTAGTGGTTGATGACGTTAAACTCGATGAAACAGAGGAGGGTAATTTGATAACTATATATATATATATATCACTAGAATCTCAGCAAAAGCAAAAAACGCTAGCTGGGGTGATTTTTTCCATCTGCCCTAGTTTTGGTGGACTAATAATAACATAGTCGAAGTATGCACAAACTGTATTATCGAAGACGAAACATCATCAATTGAAATAGGATTAGTACTAATTACCTGATTAAGCATCCACTTAAATCCAATTGCAGCTGTACATTCATTCTTTGATGAACTACTAATCCAATCAAGATTAAAGACATTATCCATAATTTCCAATATTACTGAAGCATTGGTCCTCCTTGATTTTGCACCAAAAATTTCTCCATTAGAACTCACATTCATATGGCTATTTAACAATGTCTCAAACCATCCACTCCCTGATCTCTGCATCGATAAAATCGCGAAAAATCGAACAGGATTGCAAGCACATTCCTCCCTACAATTCAATTAAAAAAACATGTCATTTAGTCCAATTCAATCCATCTAACTCTATACTAAAACTTCTCCTCTTCCGACTCTTCAAAACTATTGTCGCACCCGTGTCAGATCCTTCAGAATCGAGACTAATCAACATTTTGAAGAGTCCGAACAATATATCCTAAAACCATAAGGAGGAACAAGCTATGTTGCTCAGATTTCTTCAAAAATGTCAAACATGGTACGAATCGATATTTTGAAGAGTCCGAGCAACGCAATGCTAAAACCATAAAGAGGATTAATCTATGTCGTTCAGACTCTTCAAAAAAGATCAAACATGGTACGAATCGATATTTTCTGCTCAGATTCTTCAAAAATGTCAAACATGGCGCGAATCGATATTTTGAAGAGTCTGAACAACGTAAGCCTAAAACTAGGAGAATAATCTATGTTGTTCAGACTCTTCAAAAATGTCATATGGAATACGTGTCGGATCTTTCAAAAGTAGTACAGTATTTTTTCGAAGGATCTGACGTAAGTAATGTAACGATATTTTTGAAGAGTCTGATCAGTATATATATATATATTTAGAAGTACCTGGAAAAAGTTTGAGGCTTTGGAAAATGCAAGTAATGAATATCTTCTTCTTGAAAAATAGGATAATGACAATTATGTCTATTAATCACATGAATACTTAGTGATTTAGCTTGTAAAAAATAATTACTTGTTTGATTTATACACATTGATAATATATAAATTCCACAAAGCACAGCAAATACTAAAAGAACCAATCTCAAAGATTGTTTAGGTGATTTAATCACAAATAAATCCTGAAAATCACAAAAAAAAAAAAAAAACGAGAATCATACACAAGTTATTTAAGTACTTAAAATTAAATCAAACAATATAATTAATAAAAATTAGATTAAGAAACTAACCTGAGGTTTCCATATTTTAGGAATCTCCATATGAAATGAAAGAATAATTTATTTATTTATTTTTAAAAAAAAAATTTGGTTGAATATTTGTTCATCTACCTTGTAAGAGTTTTTAGAGGAAAATAAGGAGAAAGAAATGGTCAATTGAAATCTTGAAATTAAAATTCAACATATGTAATAAGGTACTATAATATAAAATAAAAATGATGATTTTTAATTAATATTTGTAAAAAAATATTTCAAACTGACAAAGATCAGTTTCAATAGTATATATAAATGATATATAATATTATGAATTTTATAATATGGAATCTTAAATATTGTTGTCTCTATCATGTTTTTTATTTTATTTCTTTAATCTATTAATTTTCTTGTTATTATCAAAATTCAAAAGATTGCAACTTTTTTTTTTCAAAGGTGACAAAGAAAAACTTGTCGGTTATGACAATAAGATGTGACAAAAAGACAAAAAAAGAATAAAAAAAGTTTTGAGGTAATTAAATCAGACGCCGAGTTAGAATTTTTATAATTAAAAAAATTTAAAATATGAAAAAATATATACAAATTAGCTAGAGAGGGTTTAATACATATTATATATGTATTGAAAAAAGTTAATTATGTATAAATAATATAATTTTTTATCAAAAAAAATTCAGATGAAATTTCTATAAAAAAAATTATTTATTTTTTGTTTGATGATCAATAAATTTATTTTTCTTAGAAAAATAAGTATTTTTGAAGTTGCATTTTTTCAATCCTACCTAACCCCACTCCACGTTCTCAGTTTTGTCTTAAATTTATATAATATTTAGAAATTTTAGGATAATAATTTTTATTTGTATACCAAACGCATATATGAAAAAAAATAAAATCACTACCTAAATATTTTTCTCCATCTAAACACGTCTTAATTAATAAATAATTTAATTATATTCCTACTTAGTTTCGAAAATAATAATTGCAAATTGAGATTTATTTTTTCTTTTTAGATTTTCGGTTTGTATTTTTTAGATGGTGGGTTCTGCATTTAAGTTTTTTTAAATTTGGATTTCTAATTGAATATTGAATTTGGTGCTTCAATTTTTTAAAAGAAGAAAAAGCAACCCAAAATAATAAAAAATAAATTAAAAATATTCAAATCGATTAATTCGAAATTAAATGCAGTACAAACTTATTTGGACCACCTTAGTTGTGTATTAATCTTTACCTGAAAAAATCAGCACTATTAATTAATACTTTGTTTGGTGGCTAATTTAAACCTAACATAAAATTTAGCATGTTTCTTTTTTTAATTTTAATTGATATCTGATATTCATATTTGTATTAAAATTTGATGAATTGAATTTATTAATTACAACGCTCCCAAGGAGATATTTTTCTTCCTCAGGGACTCTAATCGAAAATCTACAATTAAGAGCAAAGAAATCACAATCATCTCATCTCATCGCAAATAATTTAAGCTCAACATAGTTTTGGTTAGTAATTTACTTTCTAGCACTAGTGATATATTCGGGGTTCGTCTGGTGTAAGGAATAAAAATAAAACAGTAATGAGATAAAAATTTTGTATCTTGTTCGATTTTCATGTTTGAGATAACTTATTCTACCATTTATATTATAGTGATGTAACCAGTTATCTCATGATAGCTAATCTCATAATAATTAATCGTGAGATAGCTTGTTCTTGACCAAACGACGTATGATGTTATACAAGAATCAATATTTAGTAGGATTTTATTTTTAAAAAAAGGTAGGATTTTTTTTTTTGCAATTAAAATTTGTGAATCCAAATATGCATGTTATGATACATTTTCTTTGTGACTATATACATTTAAAAATAATAGAAATAATTAAATTAAATTAAATTGTGTCAATATTAAATATAATTTTTTTAAAAAAAATCAATTTTCTTAAAAATTAATAGAACTGTCGGTGACATATAGACATTATGAAATCAACTAACACAAAAAAAAAAAAAGATACACAAAAAGAGAAGAAAAATAATGCATAAGTTTTTTTTTAATTATTTTTTTATAGATAAGTGCTCATGCTGTCATGCACAAAATTAAAGGGATATTGACACAACAAACCATGTGAAAAGAACATTTTTTTCTAATATAACGCGTTTATATATATATATATATAGTCATAGTCATACCTAATACTTTATGATAATGTATTTTGAAGGTTAATTTTTAGGGTTTAAACTTTAAGATATTGTGTTTTGAATTTAACTTTTAAGTTAAAAATGTCGAGATATTATGTTACACGCTAAGTTTAGTTTTTCAATTCAAAATTCATAAAAAAAAAATTAAAAAAATCAAAATTCATAACGATTTAATTATTTTTTCGATGTAAACTTCAAAATTTCAATTTTAGTATCGTAAAGTTCAAATTTTATAATTATTGTGTAATTTCAACAATTAAAAAGCATACAAAAAGCCAATATTTCACCAATATCTTAAGTACAACATATATGCATAACAAACTTGTGGATATAAAATGTTTCATTAGATATCACAGATACAATGAATTTGAACATAATATAAATACATATATTTCAAAAAAAAAAAAATCAACTAGTATACTTAATTTAAGGCTAAAATTTAAATGGTGTAAAGCAATTTAGAGCTCGATTATATCCTGATAAGAAAGCGGGTGTGGATCGAATATGGTCGTTTGTGTGTCCGTTGAATCCGGATAATGATGACCCGAGGGTTAATTCGGTAGCGAAAGGTGCACCAGGTTTAATGAGCCTGAAATATCGTAGAGTCTTGATTTTTGGGGCGGAAAAAGATATTTTGAAGGATAGAAGGGCGGGCCTATTATGAAGCGTTGGGCCGGAGCGGGGCTCTCAAAAGTCCAAAGATTTGATGAAGAATTTGGCCCATTTCTTCAATAGGGAAAGGACTCATTTTCTTTAAATTTTAATTTTTTTTTTCTAATGGATTTATGAAGTATAATGTTTTTTTTCCATATATGTAATATTCTTTAGTTTATGTTTGGATAACTTGAATTTTTTTTAATTTTTTTTTGGTATTATTTTAGCACAATCTTCTTTTACAAATGTCTTAAATATGTTATTTTCTACCTCAAATAGAAACAATTCAAAAATTAAAAAAAGAGGATATAAGTTATAACCTAAGATCTAATATTAATTATGCTAATGGTTCATATTTCATTCATTCTCATTTTAATCAATCTTATATATTTGTAAGAATTGATTCATTTTATTAGAACTAAAGGGTCTTTATTAAAAAAAAAATAGTTATAAACAATAATCGTTCTTTTAGACACCTAAAAACATGACTTAATAGTCAATATAGTGATGACCGATTAAGAATGAGATATTAAATTTGAATTTTAGTGAAAAATTAAAAATAGTTCTATTTATTCAAACACTGCTGATAGGCAAGAATTATATATTTATAACTTACCTGAAAAATATTACTATAAATCATAATCAACTACTAACAGTATTTCAAATAAACACTATGAGATTATATTTTAACTCATTTTATTTACAAGTTGATATATATTTTTTTTCACTTGTCATATTTTATTTTTATTTTGATCAATACTTTTGTCACCATACAAAAGTCGAGGTCACGATGGACAGACACTCATATAACTTCAAAATGTATGTCAGGCAAAAATATAACACATACGAGATTTTCATCACAATCGATATGGAAAAAAAAAAAGCATCTATTACATTTTTAGATTCCGAAAGAAATCTCAAGTCTTCGAAAGGAAACTAAAGGCGATATTAAATGGAGAACAATGACGATTTCGAATGCAGGATCATACACAACTTCAAAAGAGAAAAACCGCTAAATTTAATTATTCGCTACGAAGATCACTCGGACTAGAATATGTATCAAAATGATAACATAATGTATTTTATAAAAAAATTTATAATTTATAATATTTTTTCGTATAATTCTCTAATATATAGATTCGAAAATTAGTCAAATTGATTAGCGCAAAACAAAAAGGGTGGGTGTGAGTGACTACAAAACTTGGGAGGAGTTGTAAAAAGTTCATTGGGACTCTTGAAAATTTTCAATCTGCTCATCAAGTAAAGCAAAAACTTACCATAAAATGCAGAAATTGAAGCTGATACGATCACTCTATCGTTCTGTATATCGCAGATCTTCAGCTTTCTCAGTTTCTACCGCCGCAGCTGCCGCCGTCAACCACCACTTCCATCGGGACCTTCATTTTTCAGCTTCTCCTAGAACCCCTTTTCGTGGTACTACCATTTTCATCTGTTTTTCTTATATTTAGTTTGGTTTTGCTTATATTCACATGTTCTTAGACATACCCAATTTGAAAGATTGTATTTTTCAGCTTCTCCTAGAACCCCTTTTCGTGTTACTTGCATTTTTACATGTTTTTCGTATATTTACTGCATATATTCCCATGTTTTTGGACATACCCAATTTGAAAGACCGTGTTTTTATTCTGCTCTAATTGGAAATGTCTTGTTATTTGACAAGTTAGAGTTTATAGTCTGAATGGATTTTGAGGATTTATATAGTAGCTGATCAGACTTGTTTGAGATTGAGACATGTCCAAATGGATGTTGAGGATTCGTACTAGTGGTGGAATCAAGACTTGTTCTGATTGCAGCAGGCATATTCTTGCCTACTACGAGTGCTAATTGAGCTTATAAAGAAGGTAGCTTTTACTAGTTTCTAAGGCAAATGAATTTCTGACAATGGTATTGTCCCACTGCAAAAACCTCAAATGAATTTCGGAGGATGACACTGTCCCACTGCAAAAACATTAGTCTTGGTAGTGTAGTGAGCATGGTTTTGGTAAATGTTTCATTTTACTCACCCTGTCATCGGTATGGGCATGTGTAAATGTACTAATGCTGGCTCCTTGGTTGGATTCTGGAGAACAATCGAACATTACTTAGATTGAGGGCTAAAACAAACTATTTAGGATTTTAATTGAGTAGAAAGGTCCTCAATCATTACGTTTTCCAACAAACTATTTAGGATTTTAATTGAGTAGAAAGGTCCTCAATGATTACGTTTTCCTTAACAAGTTCTGTATCTGCTAATCATGAAGCAGCTTAATGATCATATGTGGAGGTAGATGGTACTGCTTTTAATTTTTTTGGTCTTACTTCAATAATGCGAAACTAAATGGATTTTTCTACACTCTAGAATTGCGACATCCTTTGACAAAGGCAATAGGAAGCACACGTTCTTTTAGTGAGGATGTGACCGACATGCCTGACATAGAAGATTTGGAGATCAAACGAGCTTTTAAGGACTTGATGGCTGCAAGCTGGGATGAGCTCCCAAATGCAGTTGTTGGTGATGCAGAGAATGCATTGACAAAAAGTACTGATGACAAAGCTGGTCAGGAAGCCTTGATTAATGTTTTCCGTGCAGCAGAGGCAGTGGAGGAGTTCACAGGAATTCTCACATCTCTGAAAATGGAGATGGATGACGCGATTGGTTTAAGTGGTGAGGTAAGTGGAGTTTAAAACTAGGGACTTCGTTCATATTTTCTCAAAATCTTGCTGTTAGATTATTTATATTGTTGCAGAATGTGAAGCCTATGTCAAAAGAATTCTCTGAAGCATTCCAAACAATACTTCAACGTTACAACACTTACTTAAGTGCTTTTGGGTTAGAAGAGGTATACTTGAAGAAGAAAGTGGAGATGGAACTAGGGACAAAGATGATACACTTGAAAATGAGATGCAGTGGCCTTGATTCCGAATGGGGAAAGGTACAATCTACATTTCAGCAAAGTTGGTTCCACATATTTCATTTTTTCTATGAATAGGTTATGATTTCATCACAAGCAATACCTGCAACCCAAATTACTTTTCTCTTGTATTAGGGCATTAAAGTGGCAGAGGGAGAGGAGAGGACACTCTGAGTAATTTAAGAAAGTCAAATAATTCTTCTAAATTTGTGGTCAAGTAATCCTTTTCATTTACCTTTTGGTTTGTTTCAAAAAATTGATAGTCAAACTTTTATTCTGTATTAGCCTTTTATGATTCATCCTCTGTGCCTTCAAATTATGTTCTGCGTATGAAGTTACTGTCCAATAATTAGTTTAGAAACCTCTGCCAACTTGAGATTATATTTTGATAGAGTGGGGTTCAGTTTCTTCTGGAAAATTAATTTCTCTATTGTTCTTACGCTTAGTCTATTGACCATTCATTTTTCAAAACCTTCCAAATTTGTGTTGCATTTCACTATTCTAACTAGTTCTGCAATTCCTGAACCCTGGCCAAAAACTTATTTTTATCAGATTATAACTTTTTTTATGTAGAATACATTAAGTATTTTGTTGTGATACAAAATTTACCATTCTGATGGAAATAAACTAATTGAAGGGGAGCCTAGGAGCAATGGTAAAGTTGTTTCCGTGTGACCAATAGGTCACGGGTTTGAGCTGTGGAAGTTCTCATTAATGCTTGCAGTAGGGTAGGGTATCTACATTACATCCCTTGGTGTGCGGTCCATCCTGGCGCCTTGCATGAACGTGGAATGCTTTTTCCACCGGATTACCCTTTTTAAATGGAAATAAACTAATGTGGTTGTAAATTTTGATTTTATTCACTTTCTTGCAATAGATGTTTCAAATACAAACTTCCATCATACGTCCTTGAGTACCACTAATGAAAATGTTTCTACAAAATACAATATACGATATGGGATCTCTTAAAGATATTACTGTTAAGAGTCCCACATCAGTAGGTTTAGGAAATTTGGTTGCTTTTTATGGTCTTGAACAATTCTCATCTTTTGAACGCTTTTGGGATTAAGTTAGGCCCAATGTCCACTTTTTTTGTCATGGTATCAGCGTGCCCATCCCAATTCATTGTTTTACCCATCTTAGGCCTCCATTTTATATTGGTAACGCTCCAGATGTTTAGTCCTGGTCACGCGTCTCATATCAGTGCGTTTTAGGAAGTCGGTCTCTTTATATGGTATTGGGTAATCCTCATCTCTTAAGCTAGCCTTTTGGTTTGAGTTATGTGCAATGTCTATTTCGTTATCAATTACTTTTTATGAGGATTTGTTCTCATAGTGATTTCTGGCTTTCTTACTCCAGGTTACAGTACTTGGGACTTCAGGACTGGCTGGTTCCTATGTTGAGCAAAGAGCATAAGCCTTCAATGATGGCTGAAAAGTCAGAAGTGTTTTCGCCTTCAAGTCACTTACGTAACATTTTCCTGGAAAAAGAAAAGGAAGTTTTAGATAATACAGGATGATATTGATGTGATCCGTTAAATTGCACTCTTCTTTCGCAAGTTTTATAATGTGATAGCAGCAATATGTAGTTGATACTAATCCTAATAACTTCTTCAAGGAGACAGTTTCCTGAGTATTCAGAATGAGAGTGTTTTATGTCAATTGATTCCGGTTTACTGATGAATTTGGCGCTGTGATTTAATTTTTCTTGATTGATTATTGGACATGACACTGTGTGGTAGTAGTCAGTTCACTTTTATCTCTTTTGTGTTCACTTGAACAAACTGATTGTAGCCATTATTGAAGAACATAGTTCATGCTTCATACATAAAACATACGATCAAGCATCCTTATGCTATGGAAAATGTAAAATTGCTTCACAGAATAGAGGTAATTGCTTTGAAATGCTAACTGTCAGTGCATCTTAACCATACTAGCACTCTTACGCCATGACCAAGAATCAGATGGTGATTTTGGCAAAGGTGGAAGTAACAAGGCTTTTCGGTATAGACCAAATGGCCATCCTTCACAGTCAGATAATTCTTGAATAACAGAATGCCTCCTGAGATCTTGGAAGTCAATACTGTCTAAGCTTGATGATCGAGAAAAGACCGTCTTAGCTGTGACAAATGCCTCAAAGCTTGTAGCACTGGAGCAGGGAGAAAGACGACTAGCAACAGAGTAAAAATCTTCCCTTTCTTCTGTTTCTTGATCTTCATTGTCCTCCTCTTTTTGTCTGAGTCTTGCAGAGATGAATAAGTCTCCTGTTGTCGGAGAGAAAGCCCAGGTAAACTTGTCAGTTGTGATGGCTGTCTTTCTTCTGCATTTCAACTCCATGTATTGACTTATCACTGCTGATATAAATACCTGCTGATAAAACCGCGAAACAGTTTTCAGAAAAATATGAGAAAATCAGCAGTTAATAGCATTGAACTTGGTAGAATTACATGGCTTTAACTGAGTACTTCATCATCGTAGTCACAACTCGGATCATCTTCTTCTGGACTTGAATGTGATCTTTTCCTGAAAGAATGGCAGTTTGCAAAAGCATCCTTGACAGTTGACACAAGTAATTTGAATCTCTTAGAATGATTTGGTGACTCTTGATTAAGACAAAAGCCCATGTTTTTTTAGAAGTGTTACTGATATTTCTTGATGAGAGTTTGCAGGTTCAAAGTTCCGCAATGTTAGTCATCGATCTTCTGATTTCCCATTTGAAACTTCTGCTTGAAAGTGGCTTTTTCTATCTTGAAAATATGAGGCTTTTAATCTTTTTAAGGTGAAGACTTGAGCAAAAGGAACCTGTAAGGTATTTTCTGAAGCTAAAGCAATGGACTTCTGAATTTCTTGTTGCATACAAGTAAACTTGGTGTTTCTTATTCATGAGCAAGATGCTAAATTTGTGGTGAATTGCTTTCACTTTAGCCTTAAGTTAAGGGTAGAAAAGATGACATTGTACCAAATAATGACCACTTGCAGTAGCAGGTCCTTTTTATATTTCTTGACTTGAAGATGATACACAAGACTATAAAGTGACTTTGAGCAAAAATGTTGGTTTGGTTAAAAGTCAATATGGCCTTTTCTTTTCCATCCCAGAATGGCCACTTTTGATAACTTCCCCCTACAGAGGAGTAAAAGAGTTGAGGGTAACGCGTGAAAATCTGAAGAGAGCTAAAAAGCGTTGTTTAAAGAGTAAAAGCTAATAAAATAGTATAGTAACCAAGGGGAAAAAAAGACAAAACAAATTTTGTATTTCCTTCTTTTTTTTTTTTTTGTCTTGTCATTTCAATTTCCAACAAATTAGCAAAAATATTATAGAGAATAGTGTCTCCAACACAGTTACAATTACAAGTGAACATCTATGGGAAGCCTAGAATTACCATTGATCAGTAAGCGGACTTTAAGAGAGCAAGATCCACAAGGAAGCACAACAGATGTTGGCAACGATTTAGACGTTAGCAAAGATACCATTTCCCCGTCTCTTGATATTGAACAACCTGTTTGTGCCAATTCAAACGAATCGATGAAATAGTAGTCACCACATCTACAAGGATACGAAAGCTCTATAATATCACCAGAATCTTGAACTGTAAGGTCATCTAAGCTGACATCTTCAGATATTGCTGCATCCTGTCTTAAAGTTAGCAATTCAGCGTCATAAAGTGCACGTGACCTGGGGTTGCCAATGGTTTCCCAGGCTCTCTGTATATCCAAAAATTTGTTCTCTGTTAGAGATTCAGAACTGGATGTTTCTGATGCATTTTGTTGCTTGTCTGGATGAAAACAAAGTATGGCTGAACGATAGGCTTTACGGACTTCTTCCAAATTTGCATCTTCTTTCACACCTAGGATCTCATAGTGGGTTTTATGAAATAAGTTGCTACTTGAAATCATGGCTCCCTATATCAAGAAAATCTTAACTTCAAATACACACCAAGAAGAAAAACAAAATTACGAGTGGATCGATCTTGAATACAATTCAGTTCCTTTCTTTCATTTTTCTCCTGGACAAGTATCAAGATGTGCTTACAAAAGACTTCATTAACAAAGTTCAAAAGAATATAACAAAAAGAAGTCTATTCTTCTGCAATTTGGGATCATTCCTCTTATTGAGCTGCAGGACCTTGAATTTTACTTTATCTCTGTCATTCTTCAATATGACCTATTACTCAACTCGCTCCTAACCACAATCCCGAATTACCCCCCCCCCCCCACCCACACAAAAACAAAGAAAAGGAGAGGAAGAGAGAGGCAATAAGCTTAGAAACTGAAAGAAGCATGATTATCAAACCCGTTCTCTAAGTTACAATGGAACCCCTTCACTTGTGGCCTGCTTAAACAGAAAACTATCAAAATGCACCGATGAAATGCAAGCAAGGTACAGAAAAATGAAGCACCAAGCAACATAGATGTTGCAAATCAGATTGGGAGTGGTTAATGGCAGACATCAGAAACAGTTGTCTTGCATATAGCCCTGCAGAAGTAAATGTTCTGTCTTAACTGTACATCTTAAAATACTAGACTTAATTTCTTGTAAGTACAATTTCTGCATGTGAAGTAATGGATCTAGAGAAGGACTCAACAATCATGGAAAATAGATCCAGAAAGAGATCAACAGAGCTGTGCAGAATATAGATTCCTGATCATTTCAAAGCTTGACTTCCTTAACTCTTAGAATAAACTAGAGTGGCATGAATTGCTGTGGCAACTCCTTTGCTTCCATCATCCTAGAGAGTTAACTGTCAATACTGCCATTCAGTGACAAAACTAATGGCACCTAGTTCGATCCTCTAAAGATGCAAAAGTAGAGACTATCGGCCCCTGGTTTACACAAGATTATAGGTTCACATAGATCTTCTTCCTCCTACAACGTTGCCAGCAGCCAATGATGGATTAGCCTCCCAATCAAGGAGTCAACTTCTTTTGCCAGTAGAATTCCAATCTGACCACCTCAGTTTACAACCACATAGTCAACAGAACACATCCCATTTCTTTTCACTTAGCAGGGAATCTTTCTCTGCTTATAATTTGCATTTGTTAGTGTCTGGACTTCAGTATGTCCATGGATCTAAGAGCAATAGATCTAGTTTCACTACTGTGACCGAGAGACATTTTCACCCCCCCTAAGTTTAATATTTAAGCTAAAATGGCGTCCCTCAACAACGTCAAAGAGAAGAAACAACATATGCCCAATAGGATAGAGTCAACAAAACTTAATCTACATCCTTACCCGAGCAACCATATAATCCGTAAAATTGCTACATTTAGTGGTTGATTAGCAAGCACTAATGCTCATATCTAAGACCTAGCCAGAAATTTCCCAAAGCCTATCACTCTAGGCACCTGAGAACACTTACAGGGAAATAGTCAGGTATCAATTGGAGAAAGGTCAGCAGCAGCAATTTGCTACCACTTTACTGTCAACTTATGTTTTTTATTCTCAGTGTTTGTAAAGTAATTGCCAACTTGTGGAAAATGTGATAACGACACATCACAAAAAAAGGAAGATAAGCAGAGGGGATCGACTGGCTCTCCCATCTAAGTCTGAAGGTGATCACACCAGTCACTGAACAAGACTCGAGCATAAATATTTCTAACAGCTGCGTATGATAGGTAGTGATACTCGTCATCATAAATAAATTATGGAAGTTGAGCCAAGCAACACACTAGTCAAACAAGGCAACATATAATACATGTATTCACATACTTCTCTTATTCTAATTTTGTATCGAGTAAAACCGGTTAAGTCATAATCTTCTTTTAGCAATTTCATCAAACACATAGAGGGCATAGATTTTACTAAAAATTTCTCCTTTACCAACTAAGCCTTAACTTACCTCAAAGCTTTAGCTCAAAACTACTTCTCCCAGTTCTCCAAAGTATTCAACAACACATAATCTACAAATACCAATCTGGACTTTATTATCATTATATTATATATATACATATCCATACAAGTCCCAAAATAAACCCATTTAGGCTAACAATTTGATTCTACAACTCATACTCATAATAAATTCCATACTTCTCAACCAATTCATAGCCTAAAGCTTCTTCTTTACCAACTCAACAATGGTGAAAATTGATTAGCTCAATCCCCTAACTAAAAAAAAAAGTGTTTGTAGCTTGAGAATTCACCCAATAATACCCATTTTATCATTATAATTGAACAAAAAAATAACAAAAATCAAGAAATTACCTTGCTGAAAAGACTTAGAAATTTTCTTCTTTAAAGATTGAATCTTTGAAAAAAATAGTAGAACAATATTCTGCAATTTTTTGCCGCTTATTTGCCGTTTTCTTCGTATAACTTGTGTTTGATAATTCATACCTATTAGGCTGGTCGGGTCTAATTTTCACGTGTCTCGATTTCAAATCTTAAATTGTCGAAAAAAATAATTCATGATTTTAAATTGTGATTTTATTTTAATTGATATATAAATTGGCTTAACATTTTATGTAAAAATATTTATATGTATATTATTTTAAATTTTATAAAACAAGCCCATAATATTCATATAATGTGAAAATGATTATAAAAGAATAATTATTTATTATTATTAGTTAGTGATTTTTTTAAGGGCAACGTTCACGTATAGCAAACAAAAAATTCATTTTTGTACGCTATAGCAAACTTTGCATAATTGCGCTCCATAGCAAACATAAAACTGTATAATTTGCTATACATATACAATTGTATAATTCGCTGACCTAAATTGTATAATTCGCTACAATTGTATAATTTGTTTTGCATACAGTTGAATCGAATTAAAATGTATGTATATTGCATAATTATAAGTGTATAGCAAGAAGATATATGTTTTTCTCGCTTTATACAAAAACACAAACACAATATATACACTTCTGTTGTATAAAGCTAGAGAAAATTGTATTTCACTGCAATTGTATAATTCGCAATGTATAATTCGTTGGCCTTTTTCTCTGCAATATTTGAAGTAAAATGTTTGTAAATTGTATAATTAAGTGTATGACACGAATATATACATTTTTGCATGTGTATGTACAATTTTCTCTCGCTTTATACAAAACAGAAACAAAATTATACACTTCTGTGTATAAAGCGAGAGAGGCGAGCGAGATTTTTGGGAGAGAGACGCTGACCAATTTTAGCTAATGTTTGCTATGGAACACAATTAAATCAAACCCTAGCTATTCAATTTAATTTAGGTTATTAGTTTGCTATTATATATAACTTTCCCTTTTTTTAATAATCGATACAAGTTGTGGTGCATTATTGAAACTATTTCATCCTTTAACTAGAGGTTCAAATTAGACTCTTAGGTATAGAAATTTTTTTTGTTAGGAGTGTTACTTTCAAATGGGTATTGTAGTAACATATTAAAATTCGCAAGTAAAAAATTTGACGAGAGTAGAATATACGTAAATTTTATCTAGTCCGCTACTTCACTTCACAGAGGTAGAAAGGCGATTTAAGTGCAACAAATCGTCAGAGGCAGAATCAGAATTTTCAATAAGGGAGTCCAAAATTCGTAGAAACAAATAGCCGAATGGTGGTTCAACATCTACTATATATGCATATAAACTTATTTTAAACTATGGATAAATAATATAATTTTCCGCCCCTTCATACAAGGTAGCTCCACCCCTGCAAATCGTGATACTACCCTACCTTCTATTCTTCTACACCACACTCTTCCACCTCGAGTCATGTCCTCAATTACGTAAAATTGTATCATATCCTGTTTGGTCACCTCTTTCCGATACTTCTTCAACTTACCTTTTATCTTTCCTCGTGTCTTTTATACACAACTTCGACTCCTCTGTCAATTCTTCCTTCGTTAGAGTGTGCGCGTCTATATATCTCATCTTCACATATCTACTTTATTCCGAATATCTTCATTTCTAAATCTTGCTTAGTCAATCTTAATATCCTACATTAGTATATCTACATAATGAAGGTTCCATTACCAAAATTAGACACCTCTTACCGTTGACTAAAAAGAGCAAGGTGAAGTGAAAATGAAGAAGAAAGTGGTATTGGTAACCGGCGCTTCCGGTTACCTCGGTGGACGTCTCTGCCGTGAGTTATTCAACGCCGGCCACCATGTTAAAGCCTTCGTCCGCCGTACAAGCGACCTTTCTTCTCTACCTCCACCAACTGACGGCGGAAGTAGCGGCGGAACCCTAGAGCTTGTGTTCGGAGATGTTACCGATTATCAATCACTCCTCCAGGCTTGCTCCGGTTGCCAAATAATTTTTCATGCTGCTGCATTAGTCGAGCCATGGCTTCCAGATCCATCTAGATTCATCTCCGTAAGTACAATAATCCTTTCGCTTAAAGGAAAACACTGTGATAGCATCCGTTCACTTTTATTTGTCATATTTACTCCAATTAATTTATATTCAGAGCTAAATTGAGTTAGATTAATTCGTGTTTTAAATTTTAAATTTAGATGTTGGAGAACTATATGGAAAATATAGTATGTTTCCATCCTTCTTCTTATATTACTTAAATGATATATGATGAAAAATTACGTCTTCAAATATTGGTCGAAGTCTATATAGTTGAACGGTTGTGAATCGAAACGTGACAAGTAAAAGTGAACGAAGAGATTTTGAGTGTTAAAAAGAAACGGTTGGGGAAGTTTTTTTTAAATAATTTTGAGTATTGTATTAATTGATGGTGGAACGATAGGCTATAAGGATAGCCTTTTTGTGGTATTTTTGAGTATTAAATGATATTGGATACTTTAGTACTCTAGTGATAGAGTATAGTGTTTATTGAATTAAATGATGAGGAGAAAGATTTGGAAAATTAAAAAAGGATAAATATATCTTGAACTATTACAAATCATACGCCAATACCCTCCAATTTTAAGAAGACGACCAATTCTAGGTGATTTCATCCCATCTGTTATAGCCTTGATGGACAAAGTTATCTGATACCTATTGTTAGTGGGAGGTGGTAGGTATCTCGTGGATTTAATCGCGGCATCTTGCCCGGACACAAGGTTGTCAAAAAAAGAAATTCCAATTTTCTGCTAAATGAAATGTTCTCTTTGTTTCTGCTTTTAAGTAATTATATCTGCTTTGGACTTGATGTTGTTTCCACTGCATTGTAGGTCAATGTTGGAGGCTTGAAGAATGTGTTGCAAGCTTATAAAGAAACTGGAACTATAGAGAAAATTGTTTACACATCATCGTTTTTTGCCTTGGGATCAACCGATGGATATGTTGCTGATGAAACTCAGGTATGAAAGCTAATTGTGACTGTGTTACAGATGTAAAATGAATAAATGTATTCCCTCTTTTACAATATAAGCTTTAGATGAGACGGTTCATGTGTCGTAGCAAGCAAATATCTTGTGTTTGGGTTACTGATAAACTAATATAAGTCCAAGAAAAAGCGTTAGACCCGGACGGTAGTAGGCAAGCTACATACCTAAACTTTATAAATTTTCTCATGTTTTTGAAGTTTGAGCTTTTTATATATGAGGCAATTCACAAAATACATACCTAAAATAAGTAAACGTTCTCATGTTTTGACAGTTTGAGTTTTAGATGAGGCAATTCAAACAATTTAAATGACATATTTAATATGTTTAGATGGGCTTTTGTCGTAGAAGTTTGATTAAATATTATCAAATTCAGATTCATTCTGGGAAATTCTTCTGTACGGAGTATGAGAAATCAAAAGCTTTTGCTGATAAGGTTGCATTAGATGCTGCGTCTGAAGGAATGCCAATAGTGCCTGTTTATCCAGGAGTCATTTATGGTCCCGGGAAGGTCACGGCTGGAAATGTCGTTGCCCGTATGGTACATATTTCAACCTTCTTCCTCCTTTTATGGCTGAAAGTGTTATTGCCTGTATGGTAAATCGTTTTAATGTTATGGATTTGGTCATAGCTGCATTGGCAATGCTCTTGTAGTTCGATTAAAATCTATTACATGTTCTATCATTTCATGCATAATGACTTCTTTTTCCGAAGACTAAAGGATGTTCAATGATGCCAAAATTATCATTCTATAAGAGGGTTGGTTTATAAGTTTTTTGCTTTCCCTAGAATTAACAAATAATCATTTTCTTTTAACTACTCTGGCTGTAAGTGAACGAAAGAAGAGAAATAATCAAAAAACGGCTAAAATTAAGTTGCCACAATCAAAAAATTGAGGGACTCTGTGTCTCACCTTGCCTTTCGATACATTACCTGTTGATGCAAGATAGAGAAAATAGTGCTTAAGGTCAATGCTCAGCTTTCAACCGTAGGATTTTAACAATTTTATTAATTAGTTTCGGTAATATAATTTGTCAAACACAAGAAATTTATGTGGTATTGAGTTTAAACATATTTCTTTTTTCAGCTAATTGAACGCTTTAATGGGCGTTTACCTGGTTACATTGGCCAAGCAAATGACAGGTTTTCTTTTAGCCATGTTGATGATGTGGTTGATGGGCATATTGCAGCTATGGACAAAGGCAAACCTGGCAAAAGATATCTTCTAACAGGGGAGAATGCGTCCTTTAAGGAGGTTTTCGACATAGCTGCCATGGTCACTCAGACAAAGAGACCTTCGTTTGGTATCCCCCTACTTATTATTGAAGCTTATGGCTGGATATCAGTTCTTTTCTCCAAATTTACCGGAAAGCTTCCTCTAATCAGTCCTCCGGTAAGCAACAGATTGATACTTCAAGATTTTATTTGTTATACTGTTTTTTCTTAGGGGAGTATGCCTTAAGTTGTTTGAGAATCAAGACCAAATATTGTTAGCAAAAGAGTGAATTTGTTTATTGCGGCAATATCAGAATGATAGATACATAGGGCTTAGCTTTCTTTTCTATTTTTCTTTAAGGTTCCGGCCAAATTAATTCTTGAAATTCAAGTTTGAATGGCTGCATTGTTGCTCGTCTCCACTCCACCTTCTTAAATTGCTACAGATCTGTTACTCTGATGTGGATAGCAGTTCCTTCACATTTGGCTCTAAAGCGTGACAAATTGTTTCCTTAAGCATATATCTAGTAGACCTTTTTCATTTTTGTAGCTTATAGTTTGGGAGTATTACTTATTGAAAAAAGTACAGGACTAATATCATGTATCTGATTTATATGTATGACAACCATCATTATGTTGCATATTTCTGATTCCTTATTTCTCAAACTAAACTCACTACTTCAGGACTCTGTATTTGCATAACTAAGGCAGTACATGTGTCTCTTTGCTCGGTCTTCCTTTTCAAAACGTTTACGACTCAACAAGCTGCTTAAAGATGTAGTATTTGCTGCACCAAACTAAAATAGACAATGATGCTTGCAGTTAGTACATAAGCAGGGCAAATTTTTTCACCCGTCACAAAAACAGATGATGAATTTGAAGGCTTTTTACATATTCAATGCGTTGTAGTTTTGGCTGACCTACATTTCTTTCTTTTACCTCCCCACTTCCCCTTTTTATACCTGTTAGCTTTCGTTAGAACTTGATTCTTATCGTCTCTTTATACATCAACTTGAACAGACTGTTTGCGTGCTTAGACATCAGTGGGCTTATTCATGTAATAAGGCAAAGTCAGAACTGGATTACCACCCAAGAACCTTGAAAGAAGGTCTGTCCGAGGTGCTTCCCTGGTTAAAGAACTTGGGAATGATCAAGTACTGACATGTAATATTTTTCGAGAATGTATGGTGTTTCAGTACTGTGTACATTACACTTATGATGACTGTGATCACACATTGTTTAATAACCAGTGTTGATCACATTTTGTCGAGCTACTGTTCTGGTGCTAAAACCAGGTTTTCCGCCTCATAGATCCTTGTATATGTGTACCTTGAAGATTTCATCTTAATTGAAGTATTATCAATATGAATTCGGGCCGGATAAGTCTGTTATGGTGGTGGGCTTCCTACTGAAACCTTTTCATTTCCAGGGCTAAAGCTCGAACCTCTAATTGAGGGTTGAAGGGATCATTTCAGTCGTCCCAGCACATCTCACGATCATTACAAGTGTCGTACTGCTTCTGTTATTTGACAGGTAAAAACCTTACTCGAAATTTTACATGTTTGGTACATGTTGCTAGCCAACTTAACTTAATTGTATACAGATTTTGTAGACTGATTGTGGACAGCATAAAACTCAAATTTGAACTGCATTAATGCAGAAATATACTCTAGAGCTGGACTGCTAGAATATAAACATTGTGATAGTACAAAACAAGAAGAACAAAAAATTGATACTATAGTTATGAATTGGCAAAGATTTGTCACTCCTAAAGAGAAGTGTCATACATATGATAAATCACCTTGCTACTACCATCAAGGGGTGTGGTGGAATGTTGTAGGCTTGGACATGTTCACCCTTTAACCAGGGATCTCGTGTTCGAACTTTGGTGATGACGCTTATCCTTTAATGTGCGTTACGTGAAATTGGACTAATTGGGCCATGACTAGTAAATGCAGATATCAGATGGTTATATTATAAGAGAAAATTTTAGAGTTTCCTATCATAGAGAAATATACACTTAGATATGTGTATTATTGCCATCAGATATTCTAAAATAGGGAGAAAAGGCGAGTGAGATTTTATTATGTATCTCAGATACATGTGAATCACACTATATACACATTATACATATTATACATGTCTCTGGTGTGATTCACATGTACCTGGGATACTAGATATATAGGAATGTGGCGAGTACGATGCGAGGGAGGCGACCGAGATTTGTTATGTATACCGGATACATGCGAATCCACTTGGATAAAATGTATCTGGAACAAATATGACCTCATGTATCTGAGATATATGTATCTGGACCTATTTGAACGTATCGGGAAGCACCAAAAACTGATAAGATACGTAATATTGCAAACTAGAGTCTATCTAAGTAATTAGCTCCTAAGTTTCCCATTATACACCTTGCTACTACCATCAAGAGGTGTGGTTACATGTCCGGATGTCTCAAGTTCGAACTTAGGCGATGACCTTATCGTTTAACTTGCCCTACACGGTGAGAAATCGGAGTAGTCGGATCATTACGAGTGGATACCAGATACAAGATAGCTGTGCTGACATGCTACTTCCCTTTCGAATTGGTCAACATTGGGACCAAATTTTCTTTCTTGTGGCTGCAAAGCTTGAAGTGAAATTGTTCCAGAACAAGAATTGCCTTGAGTTTGTTTGGTTTTATCCTTAAAAACCAAAGACACAAAAGTCTCTATTTCTTCTTGTGTCAACTTCTTAATGTGGAAGTATCAATGAACAGCTGTTTTGTGTTTTTTGTCTCACCCTTTTGTCTCTTAGAATTTGGAATACCTTTAGGCTTTAATTGTTACTATTGACAACTCTTTGATTTGTGTTTCCATATCCATCCATTGAAGCTAGAAAATTGACACATCATATGTATTTTTTCATAAATTAATGAATTGTTAACATTTTAAAATCATTTAATTATTCATGTGTTATGTTAAATTTGTATCGTTGCATCATATTTTAGGATGTGATGTTTCGAAAGTAGTCTAAATATTGGATGAGTTTTAAAGTTGTCTACACATTTGAATTGATAAACTTAATATATGGTTTAGCAAAGTGAATCAGAATCATCTATAGAGATTAAAAGATGATATTATACAACAATAAAATATTTGGTGTAATTTCATAAGTAGGATATAAAACAGATCGAACGTAGTATACCGACTCTATCCCTATCTTAATGATGTAGAGGCATCGTTTTTCCATTAAAAGATGATATTCTCTGAAAAAATAATACTGCAAGTAGTATTTTTTTTTAATGACAAGGGAAACCCCAATCTCTGTCCCTTGGGTGTGCGCAACGTAAACTCTCGCTTCTATATAAGCTCACAAACCACATAAGAGAGGTAACCCAAACCAGATAAGCATGGTGTGATGAGCTCGACACTTTCGAGGGCAAAGAGGTTTCAAACTTGAGATCTCCATCATGGAAGTCCCAATCTCAAACCACTAGGCAATCCCGAAGGGTGTGAATTTTTTTATATATTTGTCTAAGCTTTAGTTAGATAAAGTTATTCGATATTCGTGCCGATTGGAGATGATAAATATCTTGTAAAATTAATCGAGATACATACAAACTGATCCGAACACAAACATACTTTTTACTTTGTGGTTGTAGATTGATGGAGAAACATGGTTTGGGGTGGGGTGGGGGGCACTGAAAGAGAGAATGTGAGAAGCAAACATTGGATAAAACAAAGATCCTTTGTGGGGAAAAGTTTTTTTCTTCTTTCCACACTAAAAGCCACTTGAAAATTTCATGTTTTTTTTTAAAAAAAAGTTTAAAATATGATGGAGTGATTGGTGGTAGAGAAAGTGATAGGAAAAGATTTTTAAAAAATGAATTAAAAAAAGGGCAACTTTCACATATAGCAAATAAAAAATTCATATTTGTATGCTGTAGCAAACTTTGCATAATTGCGCTCCATAGCAAACATAAACTGTATAATTGCTATACATATACAATTGTATAATTCGCTGGACTTAAATTGTAT